GTTTTTCCTTGCCGCCGTCACCAAGTGCTTGCTCATGGTGGGAATTGTTGGGTCTCTGTAAATCAGTATCCTTGAGCCAGATACTGAACCACGTGAATCGGTGTGTGAATGTGCATGAATGAGGTAGTTTCTGTTAGATGGGCTTTGCCATCACTGCGTGAATGTGTGTGAAAGGGCTTGTAGTGTAAAAACGCTTTCAGTGGTGGGAAGACTAGAAAGGCACTATACAAGAACAGGTCCATTTACCATTTACCAGCTTGCATGTCAGTGTCATTATAACACTCATCCTTTTCCTCCTGCTATATTGTTACCGTGTCATCTTTCTAACAGTTTTGCCACTTCAGAAAGGTAAGTGGTAAGGTAGAGTAAGTGATAAATTAACGCTATGCTGTTACCAACGTGTACTTTCCAAACTCAAGTTTTAGTGTAACTTTCACATTACAATCAAGTTAAGGTAACGTAAGAGTTGGGACCAATTTGATTCAATTTTTGGCATCAGGTGCCAATACTGACCTAATTCCCCCTCGCTCTGTCCCACATAATCACAGAACATGTTAGTAAAACACAGACAGACAGTCTCCATGGCATTCAGAGACTGTAGATTAACACTGGAATCAAATGGACAACATCAGACAACTGAAACCAACGGTAATGGGTCAGTGATTAAAGCTCCTCCAGTGCTAGGGCTTCTATCTTGCAAACATTAAGCCATTTAGTTATATTACAATACTCCCACCTAGTGGAGTCCACTGAAACTGCATTGTAAGGTCATTTTCGAAGAACACTAAAGCATTTATCTTTTGTTACCTATTGTTTTCAAAAGAATGTTTTCATTATTTTAAAGTATAAAATATTGTCAGACAAATTACAAAAGGCAACAAAATAATCATATGCTAATGGCAGATATTCTGTTGAAAGAAAAAAGAGTCAGCCAAATACAGATATCATGCCTGTTATCTTAACATGCAAAACATTTCTCACTGCATGTAAATCATCTAATTAAAACAAACACCTTGCTACTGACAAAAAGAATGAATTCTATGGAAAATATTTATTTCACGCTGTTTTGATAAAAGAAAGAGGGTCAGAAAGAAGGACTGTGATGAGTTTTGCTCAAAGCTGAGCTGTCATTTCTCCATGCTTCACATTAATAATGGAACACTGGCATATTTTGAGATTACTATCCCACTATCTGTTGTCTTGGCCTGTTAACCAATATTTCATCATATAATAATCATTGTGTTTATATATTATTCCATTTTCTGACACATGACACTGGACTGAAAGAGTATGCGTGACGATTGTAGAGGTTCACAAACTGAATCTTTTCCCAAATTGAAAAAGGGTTCTGCTGATCTTGATACAACTGCAGAGAGATCAGAACATGTAACTGTCTCCACTTCAGATGGGGTTACTCAGTTTCCACAAACTATTACGGAACCATTCTTCTCTAAATGTATATTCTGGCCCAATGCCTCCCCCTGTTGGTCATGGTGGAGTATTTCAGGTGTTCACTGTTGCTCACCACCAAGGGAGACTTAAGCCAGATTGAACAGCTGCAAATGGCTGTTTGCCAGACAGGAGGACGGAGGTAATATGTACACGTCCTCACAACTTCAGTGTACATGGTCAAATCTCAATGAAACTTCACACGTTTGATAACAGTCCCGCCCTGAACACGTCTACATGACGATATTCAGATATAGTGATAGCGCCACCTACCGGCAACAGGAAGTAAGCGCTGCATAGCGACTTTGGTCTGATTTACATGAAATTCTTTTGGTCCGCACGTGTAACGCCTGCACGTGACGGCGGCTGCAGCACGCTCCAAGTTGCGTGGAGTGCGAGGGCCCGTTTCATCGCTGCTGTAGCTTTTATCTTTAATTTAATCTGGTTATCTAACAAGCAGCATAAAGTTTTATTTGCTACTCTGGGCATAAACGTAGTGTTTTTCCTGTAGTCCATAGGATGTGTAACATTAGACAGTCTGTCCGTGCTTACTGGCGCAGATGGGAAAACTCCTTAAGTACTGAAATTCTGTACCAAAGGACACAGCATCAAACTCGTAGTAAATCAATTGAAAATGAAAGTATGAAAAGTTTGGTACCCAGCCTGACATCTACCAAGGTATTGCTCCTGTCGCTTAAGGTGTGATCTGTGTGTGTGTGTGTTCAGTGTATCTGCCTACCTGCACCAGTTTGTAGAAGTAAGCGTACTGGCGTGCAGTGTTTTTATACTGGCTCAGGATATCCAGCACTGCTTGTGTGCCCAGCAGCAGCTGCACCTCATCCTGCTGGTAGTACAGCGGTGTGTCGTACTCCTGAGGAAGACTGCGGATGTACGGCAGCCAGAATGAAGCAGGGTTGGACCGCTCACACAGCAGGTGGAAGGCCAGCGTCACGTTGCCCATGGCCTGTAAGATCCTGTCCTGGCTGTATAGCGGACCTGAGACATAGAGATTACTGTCAGTTACAGGACACAAGAACCCTACTTTTGAATCTTATTTTAATGCTGTCGTACAGGTTGAAATTTCACACAGCGGAAGTGAAAAATCTCACAGAATATCTGTGGTGGAAGAGATTAGATGTGCAACAGCCCCCTATACTGATTTGGCCATTTGCAGGTTAAATGAAGTCCTTCCTTACCCAGTATAGAGTTCTGGGCCGACTCCACCGTCATTAGCATCTTCCTGGGAATCCACAGGAATAGTTCATCTGCCTACACACACACACACACAACACACACACACCACACACACACACACACAGCACAGATACAAAATATGATTTAAGTTTAAATTCACAACAACAGGGAATTTATAATGATGTAACAGTAATCTAATAAAAAAGTCATAAAAATATAAAATAAAATATAAAAATTTTTCACCGATGGAATGTCTCGTGTTGTGTAACGCAGCAGGTACTTCTGTATCTGTATCTCTTACTCGAATTTTAGGTAAAACAAGGTCTGAGATCTGGAAGCTGTTAACAAACCTGCTACATGTGACTACAGTTTCTTGTACTGCAATTTTTTAATTTGCATCTGGAGAAACAACTGGGTTGACCTCACCTTGATGTCTCTGTGCCCGCAGGCGCGCATAGCCGCCTGACCCAAAAGTTGGTCAACGTGGTGAAACCCGTCAGCAGGACGCCCTCGTTTCCTGGAGCCCAGGTACATCAGGTCTGGGAATAGTCTCTTCCTGCTCCCTCAAACACTATGGACATAACCTGAAACACACCACACACACACACACCACCACACAGCGAAGATTAAACCTTAATTATCTTCAGCACTGTGGATAAATACAATAAATGCCAAAAAGGTTAAAATATTGTTTGTGCTGTTATGTACTCTTCTGTTTCTTGCGGATCTTTTCCACTAAGCCTTTGATCTGGATGTACTCCTCCCAACTTCTTGCCCAGTGAAGGTGCTGCACTGCTGCATTCCTGGGAGCACACATGTTTAGTGTTCCATAAATACCATCCCAAACTCACCAATCATTTACCCATAACAGCCAACAAACCACTAGAAGAATGCAATGTGTAAGATAAGATTTTAATAGTTAGTATAGTAATAAAAGGTACATTAATCAACTTAAATGTGAAGACACCTAATGTCAAATACGATCTATGTACTGTGCTGCCAGAGACAACTTTGAAATCAAGCCGGGTACCAGCCAGACCTGGCCTGTAATGTCTTGTGATACCACTGACAATACAAGTCAAAGTCCAGACACCTGTAGCTCCCAGTCTGCCACAGTTTAATATAAGGACTGAAGAAGTTGAGACCCGCACAGACTGCGCAGCTGTGGCTCAGAGGTAGAGCAGGTCATCCCACCTAAATCAGGAAGGTTGTTCCGGTTCGATCCCGTGCTCCTCCCTGTGCCCTTGAGCACGATACCTGAACCCCAAATTGGCTCACGAAGCTGTGTGCGGTGTGTGAATTTGCGTGAATGAGTTAGCTTCTGTTCAACTGCAATCCCAGTGTGAATGAATGTGTGTGACAGGGGAATGTGGCATGCAAGTGTAAAAGCGCTTTGAAAGAGCGAACTACAGTCTATCCAAATACAGGTCCATTAACCCATCCATTTACAACTGCTGAGGCCAGGGTCGAGGGGGAGTAAAAAAAATAGCAATCAGGGTACTATTATTTTAATGTTGGAATTAAAAAGTGGATTAATCTTAAAACTCTTGCTGTCTTTAATATGTCAGCAGCAGCAAGCAGTGAGCCATTAAAGAGCCGAACCCCACTGTTGTTACTGTAGCGGTCTGGTGTGCACACACAGCTCTATGATACTATATCATATTCATTAGCCCAGAGAACAAAATAAAACACTGCTTGGAGGAAAGTTAAGCAAGAAAGTTGTTAGTGTACGCCCTGATTATTCGAAACCTCCATTCAGAAAACAAGCATTCAAAAGTGTTTCTGTGGCTACCTATTTATATGCATCAGGGGGTCCTCCCAGAGTCCTTCAGGAAAAAGATGGGGAACCACCAGTCTAGGTTCCAACCCATGCCTTTAAAACAAATACTGTGCATATCGTCACACTGTTTCAAATTAATCCCTAAATCAATCCTCCTCGTGACGCCCCGGCCACCTATGGTAAAATCGCCTACATCCTCAAGTTGAGCAGATCATGTGATTTTATCCTTTAAGATAAAATGCCTATGTCAAGTGTGTGACTTAAGCGGATAGGTTTTTTTGTGTTCCTGAAAAACTTGAAAAAATGAGTCAGGCGAGTGACGATATGACATTCATGCGAGTCAGCATCCAGACCACTGTTGTTATTTCTTGGCCCATAAAGCCCTGAAACACCCGGAATGTAGACCCGGTTGAAGGGGACACCGTAACTCATGGGAAGGAAAGTTTCAGAGATGAGGCTTCATACCCATCCCCTCTTTGGGGAAACCGACAGCACTGGCCTTCCCCCCCGTGCCCGCGGACTTCTGAGTCCTTCACGTCGACTCTTCTCTTCCCCATCGGGGCCGGTCCGACCAACGGGTTGAACGAAGACCACATCCCATTATTACTGTTAAGCATTTCATACAAGTACTCCACTAATGGCGCAAATACCAACAGTGTACAGTGTAAGCTGTCAGAACCATTCAAACCAAAGGTCAAACTGAAAGGAAGACATCCACATTTGTGTTCAATTAACACCCCTGTTCAAAACAGACAAACATGGGGCAGGGGGGGGGGGGGGGATAAGAATGAAGGTTGGATAAAGAGGGGGGAGAGGAAAGGTCCGCGCCATTCAAGAGAAGCACCAACAGCTGATGCGCCGTAGAGACAGAATATTTTCATTCAGCCCCAGGTCAGACCGCCGTCATGATTGATTTTTTTAACCAAGGACGTTTCTTGATATCAGTGTGCAAAGTCTTGAGCTTCCTTCTAAGAGGCCAGTTTTTTTCATCATTTTGTTTTATATAACTCTAGGCCAGGATTTGTCAGCTTGTGCTTATTTAGGCCTGAAAAAATATCAAATGAACAGTGAATAAAGATCAGAAAACAAAAACAAATAGAGCAGCGGCAGCCTGTGGTAGCTGAGAATAAAAGCTGAAAGTAAATGAACCATGGATAAGAAAACAGTAACACCACAAGAATACAGGAACTGCACGAATATGATAAAAACAGGTTTTGACCCCAGCCTAAAGGCAAATGCGATAGCAATTCAAATTTTAACAAGTTAATCTGCTCCATGATTACCCCTTTAGTAATGTATTTTCCTATATATTTATGATTAAAACTAACAATTTTTTATAACCATATATACCAAGAGTTAATGTCATTTGGGAACACAGTTCATGTCATACCAGACATTTTATTAGATTATTTACATTTTGGCCTACTAGATAACTAAGGGGTGTAACAAATTCACCCAAAATCCACGGTTCGGTTCCATAACCGCGGTTTTCCCCCCCGTTTCCCAATTTTGGCAGAGAATCAGCAGAGAGACATGATGTTTATCTGAATATACATTAAGCCCGATTACGGCGCGTACCAGTGAACCGCACACCTGGCAGAATCAGTCCACTCACTACACGTCTTAGTTTTCGGTTTTTGGAGCCACATGCCGGTGGCCTTGAAAACATGAAATCACGGTGAGTTCATGGAAACGCCACAAACTACTGCGATGGAGAGAGTGAGCAGAGACACCCACAGGGAGAGAGAGACAGAAATAGGCGGAGCCAGCGGCCGTGTTTGCCAACCGGAATGTACTCGAATTGGGAAATTCTGGGTCCAAATACTGACTCCGATGTTTAACAAAAACAATTGGTCCAATAACCAGTGGTATTAGCAAAATCTACCCCATTTTAATGAGGACTCTGCTTCCCTCCCCCCTAAATGGCCAACCGGAGCTGAATGGAATTTCACTTATGGTCCTCCCCACCACCTATTGAAAAAACTAGAACAAAACTAAACTTCTCTCTTTGTAGACCACCACGTCCTCGATTATTTGATAATTTGAAGAACCTGCCGTAAACCTGTCTACTTTTAACCAAAAAATAATACTATTCTTTGGAAAAGTTTCCAAGCAGCGAACAAAATCTCAAAAATTCAGGAAACAAAAACACTTTGTCACACTACTTATTTGAGCAAACCAGACTGCAAACTGGTAAACACCATGGCCCCTTTGGTTCCTGAAAACTTCCACTGATCTAAAATCAAACGACTTAACCAATTTCCCAGTTACAGTTCCCAATAAAGTTGTCCCCTATAATTCTTATCTTTATATTTAAGCAGCTCCAACCCCTACCAAAAGCTGTGGTTGAATCTGCCACGAAATGGTTTACCTTTGGCCTTTTATCCAAACCTATGCCATACTCAGGTCTATCTGGCTCCTCCAGTGTTCTCAGGCCCAAAGAACCTATCCAGTCCTCCGAGCCAGCTAAAACTAAAGACTAAGAGCCTGTCGCCTGCATCCTTTTGAAAGACGCTGTGGCCCCAACCCCCCTGAAAGGCCCCAGCAAAACAGGCCCGCCCTCTCCCCTGGAACCCCCCCTGCAGTTTGCCTTATCCGGGGCAAACAGTCAGTGGAGTGTGCAGTCCACATGGGGACCCGCACAATAACATCGTGAAAACAACTGGCAGCTCTCCCGAAGGACATATGCAACGGTCCCCTGTTTTGTGACTTCAAGCTCGCATTCAACACCCATACCATCCAGAAGATCCTTCACCCACCGCAAACTCCACCCCCAGCCTCACTGTGCGCCAGCCTCCACCCACCTGTCAGCTGGATTCAAGACATTCCCTGAACCGACAGGACCAGCCTGGTGGGGCCCTGGGGAAAACCATCATACCAGCACCCGGACAATTAGCACTGCGGCCGCCCAGGAGTGTGGCTCTCCCCCCACCTGGCTCTTCTCCCTCTGAAACACAAACGACTGCACCTCAGGAAGACCCGAGTCCCTGCAAACCCTGAAGTTCGGCAGGACGCGCCTTATCCAAAGACAGTGACGAGTGCTGCTGCATACGAAACAGGGATGAAGCAGGCTCCTGTTGTCCAGAAAACAACCCCTGGAGCTTACCCACCTCCAAAAAAAGAACTAGTGAGATGACTGTGGAACTCCCAGGAGGAGGCTGGATGAGTAAGCAAGCAGAGGCGTGACCATCATACATCAGCCTTCTGTGAGGACTGCTGTGTAATCCATCCGCACGCAGGGTGATGTTACAACAACGACAAACCCTGGGTTCACCAGCCAACAACTCATTCCAGTCTAGCGGTTGCCAGAGAAGGCAATGCCGTTCAGCGAGTGGGAACCGGGACAAGGTTTAAAGGATCAAAGTACAGTTTAGAAGGCCCGGTGAGAGAAGCTAAACGCTCCAGTTAACCTGCGGAAAAGCTCCAACCGCATCAGGGTTCTCAGCCCCAAGGACTCCTGGTTTCTGTCTGGAAGGGGCTCCAGACCAGAACTACACTAACGACAAGCCCAAAACCCCCGCCCACTCCATCCAGTATGGACCTGCGCCCTGGCAACACCGCGCAGCTGAAATGAGTTCGACCCCCTGGCCGCTTCGACCAGACCCAAAAGGAGGCTCCGCCTGACATACCATGAACCCCCGGAACACCAACACCCAGCCCCCTCTCACCAGATCCCC